ATTGTATTTTTATCACTTCCTCTTTATTTTTCTACTTTTCCATTTAAAAAATAAACTTTTAACTCCAATTTGTAGAAAACATATCTGATTATTACATGGTTATGTTCGAATGGATAACTACTGTTATCAAAATCAAAGTTTCCAAGTTTATTTTAATACCTCCATAAAAGGGTCTGTAGCTAGTTGAATAACCACCTGTCTCTTACAACAAAATTTCAATCATGACGGAATAATCGATCTTAATTAAACTATATTTGAATGTGCAAAACGATTTTTGTCTTTTCATATTTTTGGTATAAAAAAACTTAGAGTTTTAACTTGAAGTGACATTATGCTCATTTTTCAATTGTCAAGTTGAGCTGAATTGACAACAAAAGTAATGACTGGCTGTTAAAATGGTAATTGACCAAAAGTATATATTTGAAAGTGATTAAGAAAAAATATAAATAGAAAGACCCCACTCTTTTATATATAACATTGAACGTATCAGGTAAATTCCAATGAATATTTACTGTCAATAGTGTACATACAAATGTTTTCTTGGACCACGTGTATTAGTTAGCGTTCAGCGAAGAAAATTATTAAATTGAAAGAAATGATCGCAAAATCTTACCATATATTCACTCATAATATATACCCCTGGATGGTCATAATCTCACTTAAACATACCTAAAATGTAATTGTTGCATACTGAACAATACCAAAAATGTTATTTTAGATAAACATATCTGGCATAACTTACAAAAATTCTAAATATTTTTACTTTAATGTCAGTCATTCCCATTTTTTCCACTTTATTCAAGATATACTCCATGTAAGAATAGATATATTTGTAAATAGATTATTTTAAATGTGTATGAAATATGTACAGTACTTATTTTTATACGGTAACTTTACAGTTATTGTGCTGCTGCTGCTGTTGTTGTTGTAGTTGTTGTTGTTTTGTTTTGGTTTTGGTTTTAATTTCAGCATTTGGCAATTAATAAAAGTTGGTATTCCTGTATTTCAAAAAACGATCATAGTGAAGTTGGACATAATTTAATATTTCAAAAAGCAAACTTAGTAAAATATCTATTTAAATAGTATCAATCAAATTTGATATTTGGAACAAAAAAATGAGCATGGAAATCGCGGTATCTTAGCTAAACAATAATAATTCAACAACACCAAAAACATCAAAAAGTACGCATTTTAAATCTTATATAATTTACGTTTTTAGGCATTGGCCTAGAATAAGTACATTGTATTATGATTGAATGCTGTATTTTGAATACAGTTATAATATTTTTAACATCATAACATATTGTATCAGTGTGCGTTCATATTATGCATTGTATTCTTTCTACTTCTTTACTTTATCTTGTTAACGATTTCTTTAACACATATCCTTAAAACTGTGATGTAGAACTTTTTTTCTATGGCATTGTTCAAAGGCAATACGAGGTTTCAGTTAATTCTACATGTAGTACAAAAATGTCAGTTTATTTTCATGAAATTGTACAGAATCCAGTTTCTGAAGTGAAGGCAATGGTGTTTATTGTTAATTCTAGGAGGGTTTTTATTCAACGTTGTGCAAAAAGTAATGTGCATTGAATCATGGTCATGCTTCTTTTGCACATTCAAATAAAAAATACGTTACGATATTGGAGTATTTATATTTATTTAAAAGATTTTTTAAAAAAGGATGTGCATTTTTACATAACACAATAAAAGCTGTCTGTCTCCAGATCAGCCAAATATTTCAAGAAAATTAAACTTAAAAAAAAAATGTACTTAGATTTTAAGAAAAGTAAAAACATTCGAAATTCAAGATTCAATATATAATTTATATGTTATGTGTGATTAATGACTGACTGCAGTATTCATCATCATATTTCTACTGCATGACTAACTCGGTAAGCACTATTTTCGCACATTCTGACCTATTTATAAAATTATTCGTAGATTTTATGTGTAAATTACATTCCTTGTTCACTCGAGAGTGATTTAATTTTCAACACTTTTTAATAATTTTCATGAAAATTAGCATGAATCTTGAGGCATGCTGCTTTACGTTTAGAGAATAATAGCCTGTGATATGGATGTACATTTGAATCTATGTTTATTGTATTTTTATCACCTCTTTTTTATTTTTCTACTTTTTCATTAAAAAAACTTTTACTTCAACTTGTAGATCTGATCTGTACATGGTTTTTTTCGTATGGTTGTCTGTATAGCCCATTATCTGTTTATAATAAATCATCACCAAGAAAAAATGCACTTGTGTTGTTGTTTTTTCATAATAGAATCTACAAAGCTTCGATCCTTGTCCATAGTTTTCTCCGATTTTATACAGACCTGTGTTTGAAATATCTATTCGAATGATAAACTGGCTATTTGACAAACCTTGTTTGATACATAAGTTAACTTAAGTGAAAAAGAAAATGACCATGCCTGCTCAAATCTTTCAACGCATTACATAGTCCCACCAATCATTCGTTATGTATTATACATGTTTTTTCGTATAATTCGTGTAGTCCAATTTTTTGATAAATTGTTGCATATATGAGATATCATTCTTGAACTTGCTTAAATAGTTCATAAATTTTCCCTGTCATTTCTGGCCAAATAAATGAATGATCATATAAGCTTAGATGGATTCATTTTATTCATACAAAAGTACCAGTTAATGTCCTGTGTCAGATTAGAATCCGTACCTTCCATTAGCTAGATAAGACTGTTACTTGAAAGAACTTGCAGCAAGTGACTTAGTACCCACTATATGGCGAGCGTTACAACATACGATGTTTAACCTTTTATCTAATATAAACGTGATTCGACGGCTTTTCACCCCCAACCCCACCCCACATTTGAGGCTTATTTAGACCCCAAACTCTGTTTTTCGTTTGAGAAATGTTGTTTTAAAAAAGCGATCACTTTTTCGGCGCCAACCATATCAAAAAGGTATATCAAGGGGTTGTCAGAGGTGGGACGTACCCCCTTCTGTTTTGGCTGAAAAAAATTGGATTTGTGAGGTGCTAAAATGGCCTCGTGTCGATCTTAATGTAGCGTGTAACCAACGCTGAAAGGCCTTCTACTCTTTGGAATCAGTTTTGGTGGAGAAAGCAAAACAAAATAGTGATTTTTTGGCAATTTTGAGACGTCCCCCGTTTCCATGGTAACAGGAATTTTAAGATTGAGCATGCTGTTACAGAGGCTATGGTCCAGTTAACATTTCTGCCAAGTTTGATCATTATTGAAGTATTTCTTATAGTTTCATAGCAGTTTGAACTTGTAACAGAAGGCTTTTCAATGAAAACAGCCATTTTTCACGATACTCACGATATACACATGCAGTAAAAGGTTAACTAGTCTTCATGGAATACAGTTAAGATCAATCTCGATCAAAGACACTGTTGTGATTTAAATATTTTAATATAAATTTCTAATACTTTACAAGTTTGTACCAACATGTTTTTTACAACTGATAAAAAAAACAAATTGCAAAGCGTTATCTTTCGAATTAAAACATTAACTGAATTTTAAAAAACAGACATTAATTTTGAAAACGTGTTTACACGCCGCATTACCATGTTTATCACTACATAAAACAACAAATTGTCTAAAAATTTAGCTTTATTTTTTACTTTCACAAAGTATAAGTGTTATTAACAGAAATCACTTATCTCTGACAATCAGGAAAACACAAATGATATAAAGAAATGCAATACATGTACCCTTTTAGATGGCAACAAGCAAATTGTTTTCTAGCACACCTCTGTTTGTTTGATTGGGTTTTACACCACACCTACAAATTATAGGTCATATGGCCACGTCCCAGCTTTACTGGTGGAGACAGACCCCAGGTGCCCTTCCGTGCATGATTTCAGGCAAGAACGGGCACATGAGTAGAACCACCTGCGTTCCGTATTACACCTTTGTTATGTATCATTACACAATTATTTATGTATTTGTATTTAACATTTTTTTTTCCCTGCCAAGAGGAAAAAAGAAAAAAGCTGTTTGTGGGTTTGGTTTAGAAAATATACCGGTAAATCCCCGGGCAAAAATTGTACTTTTAAACCTTTGACAATTTTAAATTTTAATTTGTATTTTCTTTAAAAAAACCCTATCCCCAAACCCACAACTTCCCAAAAAGGGAAAAAAAAAATTTAACCCAGAATTTAAAATTTGACAAAACACCCTTTTGCCCCAAATTCCTACCCAGGAAAAAAATTTTTACAAACCCTATAAATTTAAATGTTTTCAACTAAAAATTATACAAGTTTAGTCAAGTGCTTGTTCAGGCCTACATTATATAGTCAGCCTTACATGAACATTTGTACTGTTTGACTTGACTGTTCACTTTTTTTGTCTGCTTTTTGTCTTTCTTTTACTTCAAACACTGTATTGTGGACAGCATAAATGTTCTTTTTTAAATATTGAAAAATGGATTATTACAAAATCAAAGCAATGCAGTCAATATAAACATTATACTGTCCTGTGGCAAAATGAAGAATGAAATTACAAGTGCTCAGCTTATTGTAACAATATGGTGTGCAATAATGTTCTACCATAAAACCTTGTAGCTTTGTAGATGTATCCGTTTAAGCTAGACACAAGTATTGTTTTTATCAAAAAAATAATAAAACAATTTTATAATTCTCGGGGGATCTATAATCAGTTACTTACAATTGTAGATTATTCTAAATGATCTCCAAATTGTCATTTGACTTTATATTTTGAAGACAAAAGTTACTTGATACACTTATAACAGAATATTTTCAATATCTTAAATATGATATTTCATTCTATTAATGATTATTATCAGCTATGCAACATTAAAACTTTCTGCAAATAGCAAGTTTTTTTCAATATTTTTTATTTAACTTATAATATTACATTGTATATCATAAAATGCTATCAGTTACAAACGTTCATTATTACAGTTGGAACTAATTTAATTCAAGCCATATTATTAAAGGACACTAACAGAGCAGTGTATAAAATAAAACAAGCTGTTTACAGTCAATACTTTTAATCATATACAAAACAACACATGGATTAACATTCATTTATGCTGACTTAATCATAATTACGGATACTCAAATTCACATTTAACTAAACAAGAAATGTTTGTAAAACATGTATGCCCCCTATCAGCAGCCAATTAGTCATGTGATAAGGTTATTATGCATGACTTCTGACCCAGTGATCAAACAATTAATAAGGGTTATCAAGTATCTACTGGTCATGACCTTAACCTTTGACCCCTTGACCCAAGACTCAATAGGGGTCATCTGCTGGTCACGACCAATCATCATACAAAGTTTGAAGTTCCTAGGCCTAAGCATTTTTAGTTAATTGATCAGAAACCGTTTTTACCTACAAGGTCAATGTGACCTTGACCTTTGACCACTTGACCCCAAAATCAATAGGTCATCTGCTGGTCATGACCAATCACCATACCAAGTTTGAAGATCCTAGGCCTAAGGGTTCTTTAGTTATTGATCAGAAACCGTTTTAACATACAAAGTCAATGTGACCTTGACCTTTGACCCCAAAATCAATAGGGGTCATCTGCTGCTCATGACCAATCACCATGCCAAGTTTGAAGTTCCTAGGCCGAAGCGTTCTTTAGTTATTGATCAGAAACCGTTTTTACTTACAATGTCAATGTGACCTTGACCTTTGACCCCTTGATCCCAAAATCAATAGGGGTAATCTGCTGGTCATGACAAATCACCATGCCAAGTTTGAAGTTCCTAGGCCTAAGCGTTCTTAAGTAATTGATCAGAAACCGTTTTTACTTACAAGGTCAATGTGACCTTGACCTTTTACCCCTTGACCCAAAACTCAATAGGGGTCATCTACTGGTCACGACCAATCATCATACAAAGTTTGAAGTTCCTAGGCCTAAGCGTTTTTAGTTAATTGATCGGAAACCGTTTTTACCTACAAGGTCAATGTGACCTTGACCTTTGAACCCTTGACCCCAAAATCAAAAGGTCATCTGCTGGTCATGACCAATCACCATACCAAGTTTGAAGTTCCTAGGCCTAAGGGTTCTTAAGTTATTGATTGGAAAGCATTTTTACCTACAAAGTCAATGTGACCTTGCCCTTTGACTCCTTAACCCCAATATCAATAGGGGTCATCTGCTGGTCATGACCAATCACCATACCAAGTTTGAAGACCCTAGGCCTAAGGGTTCTTTAGTTATTGATCGGAAACCGTTTTTACCTAAGAGGTCAATGTTACCTTGACCTTTGACCCCAAAATCAATAGGGGTCATCTACTGATCATGACCAATCACCATATCAAGTTTGAAGTCCCTAGGCCTAAGGGTTCTTTTGTTATTGATCGGATACCGTTTTTACCCAAGAGGTCAATGTGACCTTGACCTTTGACCCCTTAACCCCAAAATCAATAGGGGTCATCTGCTGGTCATAACCAATCACCATACCAAGTTTGAAGTTCCTAGGCCTAAATGTTCTTTAGTTATTGATCGGAAACCGTTTTTGCTTACAAGGTCAATGTGACCTTGACCTTTGACCCCTTGACCCCAAAATCAATAGGGGTCATCTACTGGTCATGACCAATCACCATACCAAGTTTGAAGTTCCTAGGCCTTAGGGTTCTTTAGTTATCACTCGGAAACCATTTGGTCTACGGACCGACAAGTGCAAAGCAATATACCCCCTTTTCTTCGAAATGGGGGCATAAAAATTCAGACTTTAAAAAAAAATCTTTATTTTTCTCTCTCTTAAAGATATATACATGTACATGGGATTTAAACTCCTAACCTGCAAGAACTGAAAGAAATTAGCCTTTACCTTCAGTAAAGAGCCTGGCTAGCCAACCAATCTCTATACTGTTGGTAACTAATTTTTATTTATTTTTTTGTATTTTGAAATGTACATCCCTTTACTTTGAATAGATCCTAACAAATCAAATTTAGAGCAAGGCAAATCTATTTCACAAATTCAGGAAATTAAGTTTTGAATATATGCAAAGCTTTGGTAAATATTTCACATAAAATTGAATTACTCTCCTGATTATGATTATCAAGTAAAAATTTCTTACAAAGCATCTACAATGTACATGTATTGTAATGGGACATTGGTAAATATAAATCAATAAAGTTAAAGGGCAGAACATATGATTTTTGGATTAATTGGTCCTGCGTAAATAATATTGAAAATTTTTACATGAAATAAATAACAATCACACATAAATAGCTAAAATCTGGATTTTTTTCTCTAATTTTTACCTCATTGTTTTTTTAACTTTGCCATTTGAAATAATTTACATCACAACACTCTCTTATCTATATTACAATAAATTAAACAACTATTTATCATCGTTGGAAATGTGGCTCTGACAGTCACAAAAATATATCATCTAAATATAATTAGTAATATGTAAGAAGTAAGCATTCATGAAAAAATATATCATATAAGCTTTACTCTGTTATTCCAAAAATGCAAAATATTATTCCATTCTAAAACATGTTGACCTAATATTTCATGTAAAAGTTTTCCTTATGTTGTTGAAGAGTTAAATGAAAGCCATCAAGCACTGCCAGGGGCTATAATCAATCTATAAACAAGAGCGGCGGCTATTGCAATTCCTAGGGGTATCAGCCAGCCTGACCAACTACTGAAAAATACAACAATAAACGTATTACTGATAAATAACAACAATAACAAACCAATTAAACATAATCATAAACTGGTTTCATGAACTGCAATAAAATGAGAAACAACTAGTTGTTGATCCATATAAAACTGTCTACAATTGCTTCTTTGACAACCACCAAGCACTAAGCTAATGTCAGTCTATTTTTTATTTCCTAAGACAAAGAACATTGTAGTGTAAGAAATTTCAAAGAAACAATTTTTCTTATAGAATTTACCAGGTAATAATTAAATTTCATACACTTGTTACTATATATAGTAACAAAATTGCCTATGATTTCAACTGATTATGAGTGTCACGTGACCTATTATGAGTTTGCGGCCCGGGGCCGAGAACTAGTTATCAGCCCGCAGAACATGTGCACGTTCACAAACTGAAACAATGACGTCATATTTTACGTCATCAAACAGTTAACTGTAAAAGTGAAAGTAGGTTGTCAGCACCAATCGCTTTATTTTTATTATGAGAGCTTAAGCGTATTTAGTACAAACACATTTTTGTTACTATTGAAATTTGAAGAAATAATACGACAAATTCATTCCGAAAAAAAATGAAAATAAAACTTGCTTTTAGATTCTACTGCTTTGAACACTCTAAACATCTCTGTACAGAACAGTAGAAGAGTAGACAAGAATTTCAACGAATGAACTTCACAGTATTTGTTGTTGTTTTTTTTGTTTTTTTTTAAATGCTACTATTAGATCTACCAAGTGTATTAAAGACATTAATACACGTCAGAGTAGGGCCGGAAGGTGATAATCGGCCCTGAATGAATAATGGCCCTCGGGCTAAAGCCCTCGGGTCCATTATTCATTTTGCGGGCCGATTATCACCTTCCAGCCCTCTCCTGCCGTGTATTAACCTCTTATTCATATCTGACTTTAACAGTAATGGTCTTTTATTAATCAAGGCCATAGGTTATACATGTATATTCACCACCTAAATTGTGTTTGTCAAAAAATGAATCAAATCAAGTCAATTAATAACAAAGTCATGACAATTTAAGCAAAATTCTATTATTTGACCTTGACAGTCAAAGCCTTTTTAAAGTTAAATTCATATTAAATTATTCAACATGTCTATTTAACCATAAGTTCCTTTTTTGTCCAAGTATAAATCAAATCTGTAAATGAATAACAAAATTCATCCCTATAAAAACATCAAGTTAAATATCCCCCTCTCGATTCTCACTCTCTCTCTTTTAAGTCTTTCCCCTCTAACTCTTTTAAACCAAATGCAACTCATCTCCAATCACAAAATACAGGCTGTTGACACATTTCTTAGAAATAATTTTGTCTCCTGGGAACCATTTATAGTTTAGTTATCCGATAATAGATATCATAATTTCCAAGGAAAATGACAATGTAGACATTTTCACTCTCCCCAATGTCCCTCGGAGACTTGAATGTCACAGAAAACTATTTAATTATATTTAACAACCAAAATCAGTAAAAGGTGGAAGATTTATGACGTCTCAAGTCGGTGGAGGGGAAACAATATTGTTGTTAGAAGTGAAACAATCTTTTCGGTAAACTTACAAGGGCATATCAGAAGTCCCACAGGAACTATTTGAAGTTATTGAAAGCTTGACAATGATATCAATGAGAGTGGTTCATGGCTAAATTTCAAGATAATATTTCCCAAAGCGAATGCCTTCACTGAATCAAAAACAATTTATCTTTATGAAAATATATAATAAATAAAATGTAAGCACGTTTTCTTAAGTAGTTTTATTGATTATTTTTTCTTCTTCTTTCTTTTCTGAGGGAAATATTTGAGTATCATAAATAAACAATAAAACCAAAAATTAATTAAACCATTGAATAATGATAATCTTTATAGGCTCATTAATGTTTTACACTTCATATCAATAACAATAAAAATTTCAGAACATTCTATATATTAAACACAAATCTTAAGATTATACACATGTAAGGGGGCTTCATACTATTTCTGATTTTTTTTTGTTTTGTCTACTTAAAATGCAATTCCAAGAAGGATAATAACATATTGTAACTTTTTACAAAGACAGTAATTAATAGTATTTGGAGAACTGTTTCCCAAATTTGGATACAAAAAAAAGTAATGAGTTAACAATACAGGAGTAATATGCTAAAAGGTCAAAACGAGACCAGGCCAGAAAATTAAATGGATCTAAATGCTGATAATTATTTATTAGGTTAGAGAAAAAAAGTTTATGACTTCACAATTCATAAAAATATTTGGCCTTTTAGAAACTGAAATACAGCATCAATACCCCACAATGCATCATGCATCATCAGAATTATCTAGGACAAGGTTTAAAATGAGGGTAAATACATGAAGATTTCCATCCTTTCCTAGGGTGCATAAGAGTTGAGGCATTGTCCGATTCCCATCACCTAACTATTTATATTTATCATGTTATGTTAAATGAAGTTTTTTTTTCAGTCTACCTATTTAGAAAAACTACTGCCTTTTGATTTGAAATATTACTATGATTAAAAGGGAACATGTTCTTCTTTCTTGCATCATGACTGAGAAACAACTTTGTAAACTTGTCCTTTTTCCAGAAATCTTGTCTTTATTTCCTACTTTCATTGTTCATTTGTCTCTCAACTCTTAAAGATGAATACCAGGGTTTTACGGGACGCAGAATTCTGCGTCCCTATACGCATAAATTTAGACATGTACGCATATAAGTTATCCACTTGCGTCCAAGTGTACGCACAAAAATAATCCTAGACAATAGATATTATTGTTTCTGACCCGACTTGATTTTATCTCTTTCTTCTCGAAGCTCACAAAATTCCATTTAAATCTAATACAGCGAGCAGAAAATGCTTCCGTTGTTTATTTCGGAAGTGAACATGCGCATGCTATTTGCAAGTGCCCGCTGCAGAAACTGATGACGTTTATCGTGCAAGCTACAGTAACTGATGACGTTTACCGTAAAATCTATTTTAGGTAGCTGTTTTTGGTTTTTTCTGTTGCTATATTTAGACGGACTATTTATAACAAGCAATTACTATTGGTTAGCATATCCAATGTCGATGCGAATGTATTTTGTACATGAACGGCGATAATAAAAAAGGCAGTGCTTTTTGCAAACTTATTTTCATAATGTTATAGAAATTAAGTCACTGGGTATGTTATTATCGTTGGTGTTATAAATATAATGGTTTCGGCGAACTTAACTTTTAACTAGGACATCAAGTATGTTCCAGCTTATGAGGAGGTGCAAAAGCGGTTTCGTCAGCCTTTTGTTATATGATATTTTTAAAAACGCAACATATTTAGCTGACTGGTCTGTAAAGTTATATATTGTGTGTTTACTAGTTCAGCTAAAATATTTACAAATAGATCCGTACAAATTTTCAGTCTGTTGGTGTAATCACCATATCAATAACAAAATATGCTACTAAAACTTGACATTCCAGCCACTCAAAGACTTATAAGCCTTTGAAATAGCACATGATATTATTGTAAAGGGCTACTAAAGGGCTATAAAAAAACCTAGTGATAAAAGATATTGAAATCATATACTTCTTATGAAAACAGTACAATATACATGCATATCTCTTACAGGGTAAATAAATGATTTTAAGCAAAATAGAGTGGTCTTCATAGTCTTTTATAGTGAAAATAATTTTGGACCCCTAAAATTTAGGCCTGGACCCCTACTTTTCTAGGCTGTGCATCCACTGGACCCCTAAAATTTCAAAGAGATGTAAAACCCTGTGGATACCCACTGTTGATTAACATGTAATAATCAAGCAGGAAATTGTTGCTTTGCTCTTCAAACATCACTTACCCTATGGAAAGGCCTTCTGTGTATTTGTAAGTTTCTTTTTATGAAATGCTTCTTGGAAGGCTCTTAAAAACTTCCAAAAATTCTAAATTTTGTAAGGGGAATAACTCACCTGGATTGAGATGCTGGTGCAGATGGAGTTGTCCTTTCCTAAAATATAGAGTACATATTTGATAAAACATAATAAATCAAAACACAGTATTTGAAATACAACTTGTTTTGTTAAAGAAGTATGTTATCAAAGTTTCCTAAATACTACAGCAATGTTTCTGTGTTTTTTGGGGGTGGTTGGGTTTTACACCTAACAAACACAGTATAGGTCAAATGGCAACTAATCAGCTTTTTTGGTGTAGGAAGACCTCAGGTGCCTTTCCATGTATTATTATAGGCATGAATAGACACCTGAGTAGAACCACTGACATTCTGTAAGCTAGCTAGATAGCTTCCTTAAAGTAAAGCTTCCAAAGTCCGTGTTCGGATTCACACCCACAGCCGGATGGGCAAGTGGTTTGAAGTCAACGACTTTAACAACTCAGCCATAGACACCCTTTACATCAATCTAATAACTGTTTTTAATGAAGGGTCATAATAACAATCATTTCAAAAATTATACAAGAGCATCAAATCTGTTTGAGCGAACACAATTTAACCATTTAATCAGATCAGGATTGGTAATGGTCAATATACATTGTAATAGCTCAGGCAGAAGACATGCTCTTATTATTTTCATCCCTAGAGGCTCCTTAAGACCACTTTGGTATAGAATAAGAACCTGTAAATGTTAACATTTTTCTTTATCTCTGTATAAAACAATGGAGACCATGTTATATGAAATTTCATAATCTGGCTAAAGAATAGAATTAAAACACTGTAACACCTCACCTGGACAGTTCTATTTTTTCTCTCAGACTGAAACATAAAAAAACAACATATTAATAATAATTATGTTTGAAATCTTTTGTGACAATAATCACCACGTTTGTCAAAAATTATGCAATCAAAGAATTGACGAAACAATACCCTGTTACAAGAAAATTTTGTTTCTCGTTTTATAAATGTCAAAACTTTTACAAAACTATAACCGATGTTTTTTGCCTTACTAAACAATGTTTCATTCCTACATACCTTCATTGAACAAGTTAAGTCTATTGCCTTTTTTATACTTGATAAGCATTTTAGCAAATCATAGAATTCTTTTTCAAATATACAAAAAAAATTGGCTATCAACACAATACACAATCAAATCAGGTTTTCTGTCAGTAACAAGAAAAAGTATTGCTTAAGATGCATTAAAACAGTAGTGAGTACACAAATTTTCAAGTTATCCTAACAATGCTGATGTCGCTCCGCTTTTAGACTTACAGGTGTCCCATACCTGCAATATTTCAGGCACCAAACTGGAATGCTAGTAGAACCACCTACATGTTTCTATATAATATATTTTTCATGACCTATATTTTTCCATCAGTCTGTCTGTCTGTTAAACTCCCAGTTCTGATGGAGTTCCTGTCATCAAACCTTTACCGCTCGGCCATGGAGGCCCCACACTAACAATTAAACATTGTTTAAAATATAACATTCGTACTGTGCATTCATATAGTGCAACATCCTACCTCGACAATATACCCCCTAAATTTTCTTTTTACTAATTCTTTTGGCCCTCCGGTTTTTAAAGGCCAAAATCTTCAAATGGGATCTGTGGGGATCCCAAACCTTTAAACAAACAAATAAAAGGGAACCCCTTTATTTAAATTTACTTTACCACATTAAATTCTCAGATACACTTTTCCCGGTTTTGAATTTAAAAAAATGCATTTTTAATCTTTGGGGGGTTTAAAAAAATAATAAAATCATAAAAACATGTAACAGTTTTTCCACGTCTGTTTTTTACTTGGACATGCTTTTTTTTGCTTTAAAAGGGTTTGGTTTTTTAAAAATCTCAAAAATTTATTTATCATATTCAAAATTTCCCGACAAAAGTGGGTTTTTTTTTCATTCTTTTTGAAATGGTCCCGGGGGTTTTTTGCCCCTGTTTAAAATTTTGCAATGGGGAAACCCCAATTTGTGAAAAATAGGGCCCATATCAATTACTTAATATATACTACAGAATCAGGAAAAAAAAATGTTAAAATTTACTATGGGTTTGGACAAAAAACCGTATAAGAAAATTTCAAATTTTTAAAATTAGGGCCCTGTATATGTTGTAAAAATTGCTTTCCTTGTTTCTGCATGATTTTACAGCGCTGACATTTTTTGCGTATTATACGAATTTGACCAATTATGATATTATTAGTGTAACGTAAATTGTAGTGAAAAAACAATTTTTTTGGGGTTTTGGGAAAATGGGGCCCTTATTCGCGCCCCAAAAAAAATGTGTGGAAAAAAACACAAACATTTTGATGTCAATTGGGACTTTCATAATCAAGTTATTTGATTACATACTGAAACCCTTGGGGTTAGAGTGGCGAAACCTGCTTTTTGGATAGAAAATTAATCAAATAATTTTGCGGTCGAGGTGCTTTAACAAAATTACATGAATTTTTAAAATTTCAAAATTTAAACGGGCGGCAATTTAAATTTTTAATCAATTTTTAAATACATTTGTACTTAAAACCATTAAATAAGCGAAAAGGGAATTGCTTTTACATGAAATTTTTTAAATGATTTAATTTTCTTCCCAAAAAATTCTCATTCAGGATTTTACATATTTTTTTCAATATTTTAACAAATTTTAAGGGTTGGAAGCTATTGGGCTTTTTGGGAAAAAACATTTAACCCTTTTCCTGGAAGCCAAACCGGTTACCTTGAAAAAGGGGGAATTTGGTTTTTTGGTTTTCCTTTTCAGGGGAAAAACCAACCCAATTTCCCCCTTGACGGGTTTAAACCCCATGCCCCTAAAATGTTTTTGAAATCATAAAATTACAAAGACCCGTTTTATAGATGATTTTTTGCTAACTACTCGGCCACGCCACCATTTTCAGGACATAAAGGGGTTAAAATAAAAAAACTAACCCACAAGTCAAGTTGCACTATCATCACAAAATAAAAGGAAAATTTGGGAAAGGGCCCACTTACCAGTTTTGCTCCAGCAAAATTTTTTCAACCCCCAGGGATGCTGGAAATCAAAAAAAAAATTTTTTGTTTGACCCCTTAAAAATTAAATTTAAAGGGTAGTTTTGGGAAAAATTTAAAAAATTACCTTTTAAATAAACAAAAAAAAGGGTATAAAAATTTTTTTTATTTCAAGCTATCGGGTTTAAAATGGCAAAATTATCCAATTAAAAAACACCAAAACTATTGCCCTTTTGGGAATATCTTACTTCTTTTTAAATTTTAGGGTTTTTCATTTAAAGCTAAGCATACCCCCTTTTTGGTTTGAAAATGCTTTAAAAATTTGGGTTTTAAAATTTTAAACCCTTATGAGTTTTCCATTTTTTTTTATAGGGGCTTGAAAAATCTTTAACTTCAAACGGGTTTGGGAAAGGGTTTTTTACATGTTTATTTTATCTTAAATCTTTTTTTTTTTTTGGGTTTCAGAAAGTGACTGTGAATGTACTTAAAAAAAAATTTTAAACTCTTTTGTCAATAGTAATTTTTTACGTGAAATTTTTAAATTTAAATTTCAATGTGAAAAACCAACAGGGGCTCAAAAACTTTTATCATTTCCCCCTTTTCCCAATGTTTTTGAAAAGTCTTTTTTTTCCCTCATTCCTAATTGAAAATTACTAAATAAAAAATACTGAAAAACCCAATTCTAAAAATTTTTCAAAAAAAGGGCCCTTTTTTCACTGTTATGGTTTTTTAAAATTTTTAAAAGATGCCCCTAGAACATTGCTTCTTTTTTTCTTTAAAACCCACTGCATAATAAAAATATGAAAATTTTTCCCCAAATTTTAATGAAACATTGCTAAAATTCCCAATTCCATGGGTATGGGTCATGTTCCCAAAATCCTGGAAAAAAAACCCTGACTCCAGATTATAGTTATTATAAAGAAGACAGATGTTGGGTTGAAATGAGTACCATTATGTGTGCATAACTGATCAGTCAAAATTAATTGAGTTACACACCTAAAATTGACAAGAAATAACAAGAGGGCCATGATGGCCCTGAGGTCGCTCACCTGTATATAGCCCCCCCCCACCCCCGGGCCAATTTTTACCCAAGGGCTTTTTTATTTGTTTATTTGAACAGACTTGGTAGACACCCATAAGAAGATGTTTCATGCTAAACATCTAAGTTCTAGCTCATTGGGTTTTTTAAAAGAAGATTTTTAAAGTTTTTACTATACACATATAGTAAAAAACAATGACACCCTGGGGCAGGGCCAGTTTTAACCCCCGGGCTTTTATTTGAACAAACTTTGTAGATATTTACTTAAAGATGTTTCATGCTTAATATCTAAACTCTAGCTATTTGGGTTTTTCAAAGAAGATTTTAAGTTTTTGCCAAACACATATAAGGAAAATCAATGACCCGCCGGGCGGGGCCAGTTTTGACCCCAGGGCTTTTATTTGAACATACTTGGTAGACACCCATTAGAACATGTTTCATGCTAAATATCTTAGCTCTAGCTTATTGAGTTCTTTAAAAGAAGATTTTTTAAGTTTTTACTATAATATGCATATAGGGAAAATCAATGACCCCCTGGGGCGGGGCCAATTTTGACCCCAGGGCTTTTATTTGAACAAACTTGGTAGACACTCATTAGAAGATGTTTCATGCTAAATATCTTAGCTCTAGCTCTTTGGGTTCTTTAAAAGAAGATTTTTTAAGTTTTTACTATATGCATATAGGGAAAATCTATGACCCCCTGGGGCGGGGTCAATTTTGACCCTAGGGCTTTTATTTGAACAAACTTGGTAGACATTCACTAGAAGATGTTTCATGCCAAATATCTAAGCTCTAGCTCTTATGGTTCTTTAAAAGAAGATTTTTTAAGTTTACTATATGCATATAGGGAAAATCAATGACCCCCCGGGGCGGGGCCAATTTTGACCCCAGGGCTTTAATTTGAACAAACTTGGTTGACACTCACTAGAAGATGTTTCATGCTTACTAACTTAGCTCTAGCTCTTTGGGTTCTTTTAAGGAAGATTTTTTAAGTTTTTACTATATGCATATAGGGAAAATCAATGACCCCCCGGGGCGGGGCCAATTTTGACCCCAGGGCTTTTATTTGAACAAACTTGGTAGACATTCACTAGAAGATGTTTCATGCTCAATATCTAAGCTCTACCTCTTACGGTTCTTTAAAAGAAGATTTTTTAAGTTTTTACTATATGCATATGATATAGGGAAAATCAATGACCCCCTGGGGCGGGGCCAATTTTGACCCCAGGGCTTTTATTTGAACAAACTTGGTAGACACTCACTAGAAGATGTTTCATGCCAAATATCTAAGCTCTAGCTCTTAGGGTTGTTTAAAAGAAGATATTTAAAGATTTTTCTTTCGGTTGCCATGGCAACCAGAGTTCTGCATGGAATTAAATTCTTTGAACAATTTTTAAAGGTGACCACCAAAGGAACATTCCTGTGAAGTTTGGATGAAATTGGCTCAGTGGTTTATGAGGAGATGTCATTTAAAGCAAAAGTTTACGGACGGACGACGGACGGACGGACGCCGGACGAAAAGCGATCACAAAAGCTCACCCTGTCACTTTGTGACAGATGAGCTAAAAATAAATAAAACTAATATTTAACAGATTTCTTCCTTTAAAAAAAAAAAGCTGAAAATAAGGGCATTTTAGTTTTGTGTTTTTACTGACTATATAATGCAGTGTCCAACCTGACAAAGAAGAGAACTTTAAACTGAAGTCAGAGTCCTGTCATTGATTAAAAGGGATCGAAGCAATTTCATACATGCTAGATATCATTTGATGATACAAATTCAGGATTGCATCACTTGTACTTTGTGTGCTTTTTATTGAACTTCTGTATATTATGAAAAGTATCACTTGTACTTTGTGTGCTTTTTATTGAACTTCCCATATATTATGAAAAGTATCACTTGTACTTTGTGTGCTATTTATTGAACTTCCGTATATTATGAAAAGTATCACTTAATTTGCATCATAAACTGCTTAAAACATTGTTACTTTGCATGACCAATTGTTTACATATACGCAAGTGAGAAAATATGAAGAACAGTAACTTTAATGACTAACTTTTGTCTTTGTTAAACAATGAATATCAATATGCACTTAAAATCTTGTTTCTTTGTTAAACAGTGAATATGCATTTAAATATTTTGTTTATCTTGTTATCAGAAGTGCACTACTTTAAGACTGTGAATTCAATATTATGAATTTTTATATAAGCCCAGCTAATAACTTATTTAGAGATAAAAAATTGGCAAATTTATGTTTACTCTGCATGTGATTTTAGCCTGGAACCCCGTTGTATCGATCTATTTACCCATAAATCACAACTACATTAAAAAAATTCAAATCTCCCTGAATATTTATTTTGTATCATTTATTTTGATCCTTTTGCTATAATATTTACATGGCAAATATCACTGATAAATACTTTTTAGCTTTGGAATATACGAATATTTACAGACATGTCAAACAGGTTGAAGAATTAGGTCACGCCATTATATCGATGCATTGTGAGAATCGCTCAGTTAGCCAAAGTTTGGGAAGCCTTAACCATCTTTATGTTAGCTATTTCAGTCAATTGGAAACATAGATGTCTGTTTTAAAATGTCAGCACACATTTAGGAACTTTTAACAGACAGTAAATGTACTTTTAATAAGAACACATTATTTATAAGACTATTTTTAGTATTTATTATCTACAACGTCTTACGGTATTGGAAACATGTTTATGACGTCTTACGGTAGTGGAAACATGTTTATGATCATTTTTACGGCACAAAAATAAATGCGAAAGATTTTCGTGACACTGTTGTAAATGTTAACAATCAGTAGGTGATGTATTTTGCAAAAAATCTAAAGATTTGTAAATAGATCGATACAATGAATAGCACGATACAATGGGGTTCCACTATACTCACTTTAGGACAAATGATCTGAACTTTTTTTACCATTTTGGACAACTGTCCCTAGGAGAGAAGATCTAGAAACCAAAAAAGTTGATAAGTACTTAATATATTAAAGTTTTAGTTATCCTAGAATAATACCTGACAAACTGCATGTCAAAATAAAATTATGCCAGAGGTCATAAAGTAGGACACATTGTACATACACACATAAACGGGTGGTGATTATCATGGCAAACTAAATCAATCAAACCAATTGTAAATAATTCCTAAAAATCAATATATACAAAAGCTTTATCTAATCACTACATCCCAATGCAATCGATCTCTACATCTATACCCCACCCACTGAAACACCAACCCTAACCCGGTGACACCAACAATGTGTAAAGTACATTCTTACCTCCTCTAAAAATTTTGTCACATCATACACTTTATCATAAATGACAAGAAATGTCGATTTCGAGTCATCATGTCCTTTGACTTCTTTTAAAGTAAATGTTTTAGTTTCTGTCATTTTCGTTTTTGCAGTCGCACAATTTCCAATCAACTTCCGGTGTATTTACAGGTTGAACACACATATGTAATTTTCATCCGTACTGTAGGCATAGCGCCACTACCGTTTTTTCCTATGCGTCTAGCTTACTCAGAGAAATGTCTTTGGCTTACACTATTTTTCACTTACTATTTTCACATTTTTTTTTTAATTTTACTTTCTTTTTTCATTTAATATCTTATGTTTTGTTTTATATTGATTTTTCGATGTAGGTCTGATATTTGCAAGCAAACCAAGTCAAATAAATAGGTTCAAAACAATTGCATGGTTATTTATGCAGACGATACCATGTACTTTTTCTTATTCTCTGGCAATTGTGCGCTTTTGTGGTAAAGACGGTTCATATGATATTATAGGATTATTGTCATAGTTTATCAGTTTCTTATAGTTTCTGTTCTTATCATTTTCAGATCTTGATCATTGTGTAATACAGTTGAATAAAGATACTTACAAATAGATATAACTCTTATTTATGATCAAGATACAGTGACGCAAGAACAATGCCTGTCGTACAGTGTCCATTTCCCGACTGTGACTACAGCACCGCTGACCTAGATGCAGCGATTGTTGCGGCACTCATCACAGCCCACAGTGCTGTACACACAAATGCACCTGTTTTGACTGCAAAAGTGGAGAAAGTGAAGCGACCTACCGTGACCGCCGCTGGAACCAGCGAGGACTGGGCCTACTTTCTATCACGCTGGACAGACTATGTGGCCGCAACCAAACTGAAGGGCAAGGACAAAGTCATTCAGTTGCTTGAGTGTTGTGACGAACCCCTACGCAGAGACCTGACTCGAACAACAGGTGGCAAATTAACTGAAAAGGCAGTAGACGATGTATTAGCCGCCATTCGAAAACTTGCTGTTCGTGAAGAGAACACAATGGTTGCTCGTGTGACATTACATAACATGAGACAAGACCGTGATGAGTCAGTCAGAAACTTTTGGTGCACGTCTCAGAGGACAAGCTGACATTTTGCAAATTCGTGATTGACTGCCCTGACTGTAATGCCAAAATCAACTACACAGATGCCATCATGCGCGACGTCCTCACACGAGGTGTTGTTTGACCCTGATATTCAGTTAGACCTACTTGGGGACAAAAATCAAAATATATACTTTGGAGGAAGTATTTCAATTCGTTGAAGCGAAAGAAGCAGGGAAACGTTCAGCTTCAAGGCTTTTGGATTCTCATTCGGTTGAGGCAGCCAGCTCCTACAAAAGGTCCAAGCAAGCTCTCAGCAAGGACAATCAAGACCTGTGTTCTTATTGTGGGAAACGTGGTCATGGCAAGAAAAGTGTGGCACAACTGCGTAAGACTCAGTGTCCTGCATTATGGCCACAAAGTGTGAACTTTGTCATCGAGATCACCCATTTCGAGAATATCTGCCGCAGCAAGGACAACCCAAAACGCCAAGTACAGTCTAGCCAACACAACTTTGACAAAGAAAGTGCTGTGTTTAACACATTGTGTACACTGAATTCCCTTCAAAACCACAGCATGACAATCTAAACACTATTCAAACCGGAAAACGGCAAAGTATTTCACTAGATCATCACATCTATGACAGCATGACAGACACGTGGTTTCGCAGAAACTCAAAGCCTCAGCCATTTGTGAACATTACTGTGCGAGCTCTTCCTGAAGATTACTCAGCCTTTGGGGGTCGACCTGCCAACACCGTCAGCGCCCACCATTGTTCCTGCTATGGCTGACACCAGTTGTCAGAGCTGCCTTGCCGGTCTTAAAGTTATTCATCGCATAGGACTATCTAGATCTGACCTTATCCTGTGACAATGCGCATGCACACAGCTAACAATGACGGTATCAAGATTCTTGGAGCCTCTTTACTACGGTTCTCAAGCAAAGACAGTAGTGGTAGAAGTGGTGGAAACGAGGCAGATGACATATGTTACAGACTCTTCAGACAAGCTGTTTCTGAGCAGAGAGGCATGTGTACAGCTAGGTATCATCAGCAATAGGTTTCCTGAGATACAGCCCTTACAAACCGGTACCGCAGCTGTCCATGGAGAGAACACTGCGCCATGCGGATGTCCTGAGCGCCAATCTCCACCTCCACCGCCAAGTGTTCTGCCATTTTCACCTACAGAAGAAAACCGCTCAAAACTACAGGAGTATCTTTCTTGATTACTACAGGTCCAGTACATTCAACACATGTAAACACCAGCCTCTGCCTCTAATGGATGTCCCACCTATGAAGTTTATGGTGGATCCAAACGCTGAACCAGTGGCCTATCACACACCAGTACCCGTTCAATACACTGGCGAGCTGCAGTAAAAGAAGGCCTTGATCAAGATGTACGGTGGGCGTGCTGGAACCAGTCCCCATTGGAGAACCTGTCACATGGTGCCATCGGATGGTCATATGCGCTAAGAAAAAATGGACAGCTCAGACGAACAGTTGACTTCCAAGCTCTCAATGCACATGCCACACGTGAGACCCATCACACACCTTCCCCATTCCTCCAAGCGCGATATCGGTTCCAAATGGGAAGAAAAAGACAGTGTTTGATGCCTGGAATGGCTATCATAGTGTCCCACTATATGAAGAACACCGATATCTTACAACATTCATCACGCCATGGGGAAGATACCGATACAAAACCGCCCCACAAGGCTACATTGCCTCAGGTGATGGTTACACAAGACGCTATGATGAGGTAGTTACAGACATTCCAAACAAAACCAAGTGTATTGATGACGCCTTACTCTGGGCAAATGACCTAGAAGAAAGTTTCTTCCAGGCAGTGCGTTGGCTTGACGTCTGTGGAAGGAACGGTATAACACTAAACCCAGAAAAGTTTGTCTTCGGAGCAGATGAGGTCGAGTTTGCCGGCTTTGAAATCACTCGTGATGAAGTCAGACACTGTCAGAGATACCTGCAAGCCATCATGGACTTTCCCACACCAAAAGACATCACAGACGTGCGTTCATGGTTTGGCCTTGTAAATCAGGTGTCATATGTTTTCAGTATGGCAGAGCGCATGTTACCATTTCGGGATCTCTTGAAGCAAGGCACTGTTTTCCAGTGGAATGAACATCTTCAGACATTATTTGAGGAGTCAAAAGCACAGATTGTAAAAGAAATAGAAGAAGGTGTTCGCATCTTTGACCCTGATAGACCCACATGTTTGACAAACTGACTGGTCTAAAATCAGGTATCGGGTTCTGGCTCCTTCAGAAACACTCTAAATGTGATAAGACAGAACCTTTTTGTTGTCCATCTGGATGGAAGATCACACTTGTTGGCAGGAGATTCACTTATTCAGCAGAATCTCGCTATGCACCTATCGAGGGTGAGGCACTAGCAGTTGCAGATTCCCCTGGACAAGGCCAGATACTTTGTATTAGGATGCAAGGACTTAACCATTGCGGTTGACCATAAAACACTTCTTAAGATCTTCAGTGACGATCTCTTGAGGACATTTCCAACAATCGTCTGAGAAAACTTTAAGGAGAAAGCACTAAGATACAAATTTCGTATGGTCCACATCCCTGGCGTCAAACATCGTGCTACAGACTGCCTTTCACGCCATGCTATTAGTGATGCAGAAAAACTTATCTTACCTGATGATGTTGCGCAAGTGACCAATCACAGAACTCCAGAGAGCTTCCATCTGGAAAATTTCAAATACTCAATACATTCAAAGAAGTGCAGAGACGGAAACATGATTTCAACTGCTGTTGCATCATCGAACACCATTGGCCTGAAGTCGGTGACCTGGGATAGAGTTCGTTTAGCTACAGCCAGTGACCAGGATATGCTTCTACTGAGTGAGATCATAGAAGGTGGAATGCCACAGCACCGTCATGAAGTACCAGAATCTCTACGACAGTATTTCCAGTACCGTGAAGGCTTGTCAACCACTGATGGGGTTATTCTGTACAAGGACCGTGTAGTTATCCCGCAATCACTCAGGAAGGAAGTTCTAGATGCCTTACATTCAGCTCACCAAGGTGTTACATCCGTGATAGCTCGAGCTGAGACATCTGTGTTTTGGCCAGGAATCACGCCTGACATAAACATTCTTCGTGCAGGATGCCAACAATGCAACCGCAATACACCGTCCAACCGAGTGCTCCACCAGTTCCACCAATGAGCCCTGAGTATCCTTTCCAGTGCATCTGTGCTGATTACTTTACTTACAAAGGTAACCATTACCTGGTGGTAGTGGACCGCTACTCAAACTGGCCCATCGTAGAGCAGTCAGCCGTTGGAGCTCAAGGACTGTTAACTTGCCTCAGACGCATCTTTGTTACATACGGGATACCTGATGAACTTGCATCTGACGGGGGACCAGAATTCACAGCTACAGCTACAAGGCAGTTCTTAAGTGACTGGGGTGTGCATCATAGATTATCCTCAGTAGCCTTCCCTCACAGCAACTGCAGAGCAGAGATTGGAGTCAAGACAGTCAAACGCCTTCTAATGGACAATACTAGCTCTTCTGGCGACATTGATACCGACTCTTTCCAGCGAGCCATGCTACAATATAGAAATACACCAGACAGAGACACGAAGCTCTCCCCAGCTGTATGCATATTTGGTCGACCAATCAGAGATTTCATCCCAATTCCACCTGGGAAATACAAGCCTCACTCAACATGGCAAAACACATCCCTTGCCCGTGAAGAGGCATTGCGCAACAGACATATGCAATGTGCAGAACGACTGTCGGAACATACGCAAAGACTACCTCCTCTTTCTGTTGGAGACCACGTTCGGATGCAGAACCAAATTTGCTCATTCCCTCGCAAGTGGGATAAGACACGAGTAGTAATTGAGGTGCGCCAGTTTGACCAGTACGTTGTGCGCATTGATGGTTCTAGACGTGTCACTCTGAGGAACAGGAAATTTCTTCGCAAATATGTTCCAGTTCAGTTGCCGCCAAAGCGGCTTAGCATAGACACTGACACTACGCTACATCAACCATCGTTTTCTGTTTCCCCTACTGTTACTACGGACACAACAGTGAAGCCTGGATTAACAACTCCAACGAAAACAGTCACAGTGCCAGAACAATCACCCGGGCCTGCATGCCCGCCTGCCATGGAAGCCTCACACGAGACACCTACTTGCACCCAGGTACAAAGCCCATGTCGTCAGCTCGCATACTCTGAACCAAGAACTCAAGATGCCATCTCACTGCCAGATGTTGCCACAGGCCCACCTTGTGCTAAAGCAACCGTTGTTCCATCGCCAACAGTTGAGTCTACTTCCACACCGCCACGACGGTCCAGCCGCATAAGACATGCCCCAGAATGGCAAAAAGACTTTGTTTGTGAATAAATGCACACACCATGAACTCTACTATCAGTGTATAAAGTGAATAAATGAAGACTTTCAACAGTCAATATTCTATAAGACAATGATAAATCATTGGTTATTAATATTATCATGTGTTTCTTTACTTTTAAGTTAAATATCAGTCTTTTTCATTCAGTTCATTATGTTCATAAACTAAATAGATACTGCCTGCCAAAAGACTTGGGGGGAGATATAGGATTATTGTCATAGTTTATCAGTTTATTATAGTTTCTGTTCTTATCATTTTCAGATCTTGATCATTGTGTAATACAGTTGAATAAAGATACTTACAAATAGATAGAACTCTTATTTAGATATGACTGAGCTTTAATTTATATGAAATCAACATGATAAAAATTTTACAGTAAATAAGCTGTAATATATTTATAATTGTCCGAAAATATCATTGAACTTTTTTGCAGCAATTGTTTGCTTAGTATTTTTTTGCTTATTGGCGTCCGGCGCCCCTTTATGGAATGAAATCAGATTTTGTGAAAGGGCGACAGCAACTTCTCGAGCCTTTTAGTCGGTCATAATAAAATCCGATCATTCCGATCGGTATGAAGGCGCTTGATTATTATTAATTAATGCGTGGTACAATAAACAGCGAACTTGCAAACATTTTCAAATGAAATAACCTTTTCCGTCAATAAATCGCGCTCTTCGTTTTTGTATTTTCTGATCGCAGATCAGATAATACATAGCTAACATCCACGGTCTAACACAAAATTTCCTAACAGTCCTAACAACGCAAATTAGTTCTCACTCAAAACTGCTTAAAAACCAGCAATTTAAAAGAAAGAACAATTTTTTGTTACAAGTGTCCAACAAATTACTACACCTTCAAACTTTTAAAGTAGCGTTGGCTTATAGAGTTGTCAATAAACGCACACTCACAAACTACGCGGATGAATATGATTTTAATCAATGAAAATGCTATTTTTAGCGATGTCGATTACCGAATACTACACAAATAAATCTGACTGCCGAGTTGTTGAATATATAGTTTCTATATGTTGGACTGTTTGGGCGAGAAGATTTTTGCTAAATTATTTACTTCAATTTTAAACAACAGGTTTACCCTGAACAAAATACCTCGAAATTACCCTAACCCGAAATGCAATGGAAATTCTAAATTTAGAATCACTTGATTTTATTCAGCATTTGATTTTAAAACTTCTCCGTGGTGCAGGGGTAACGCGCTCGTTTGGTGTCTGAGAGGTCTGGAGTTCAAATCCCAGTAGAGTCAACATTTTTTTAATTCTTTTTTTAAGTGTCTTTGTTAAGGAAATAGCCACGATATGGAAGGATTAAGTGTGGCTATTATAAAAAATTAACATAATTTTTTTTGATGCAACTCTAGTTATGCAAAATTCCGTATGTATCAAACTCTGGTGCCATGCAAGATGACTTATAGTACATAAAAATAAACTTATACAGGAAAACACATACAGATATACAGTACGCTTTAGATTGCAGGGATCAGAAAATACCACTGAGCTTGCAGCCCTTTGATTTTTATTTACACAGTGGGTTAGGCCGCTATTCCATTTATACGTGATCAGTGGTCCGCGTCAGTGATCCGTGTCCGGGCATGTCCGTGGGTATTATTCCATAGGTACGTTATTTTCTATATACTTTTAACTGAAGTATGGCGAACAGAGGATAATTATTTTATAGAATATGATATAATTTCATTCTAATACCAAAAACAGTTGTAACATCAAAGAATTAGGTAACAAACATTGAATATCAGTTAGGTTTTCAAATAACATCTCTTTAGCAACCGATGACCAGATGTTGTTTTTTTTAATCTGTCATTGCTGCATCATAAACTTATATGTTCTCCTACACTATTTTGGTGACATCTTTAGTATTTTCTTTCGAAATCGATAAAGTATTTAATTTCGTTCGAGGCATTTTGTAGGGATGAGACATGTCAGTAACTGTCCGCGTCCGTAAAAAATCGCTCATCCTGCGAAACATCGCGGATGCCGTCGCGGAAGTGGATGGTAAACGGACAAAAGGAATAGATTCAACGTATTCTTTGATTAGCGAATCGGTAACGGATGCGGACGACGGACGCAGACCACTGATCACGTATAAATGGAATAGCGGCCTTTATGGAATGCCGGTAGGGACATGCCACTTTGCTTATTTGCCAACTACTTAATTGCTTATTTGCTAATTGCTGATTTGCCAATTTGCTGATTTGCCAATTTGCTTATTTGCTAATTGCTTATTTGCTTATAGATCTACATAAATTTTTATGCTATCGTCGCCTGGCGACAGGTCCGACTCGCGAAGTTCTTGTTTGATATAAAATAACAAGTCTTTGTAGACTTTATATCAAGCTCATGAACCTATATCATGTTATTATGTTTCTAAAGTTTTGTTAATTATAACTTGTGACAATTATGATCAATCTATCATTACCTAGAATATAGGTAGAAAGACAGATGGATACATTTTAATCAGTTTCGAAGAAAATAAATTCAGTTTCAGAAATTAGTTGTTTTTTTAATTATCTCGAGTTTCAGTTTTAGCTCCACTATTCAGAGAATAGGGATGCTATTCTACCCACCACTGCATTGGTTTTCTTGGTAACTTGTTTTTCTGTCATATCTCTGTTACTTTTGCTGATTCATGCATCTTACTGCAACTTTGCATAAACTTTGCGTTAAGTATGCATACAAAGTACATGAAGAAGCTGTGCCTGTTATATACTGAATGTCAAGGTCACCAATGTATTGTACTGAGAAACCTTTGTTTTTCTGTCATATCTCTGTTACTATTGCTAACTGTAACTTCACATAAGCATTAAATAGGCAGCATGCATACACAATATTCAAAGAGGCTTTGTCCATTATACCCTAGGTCATGATCATGGTCATGGTCACTTGATAGCATGTATAATGTACCAGGTACGTATATTAACATAATATACGTACCTGAATGTACAACATGAAGAAATGGAAAAGTGTGACCAAATTTCAAAACATTGAACCAAAGCAAAATGTTGATGCACACACTGTGAGACATAAGTGATCTCAAAATCTTACAGAGCTAAAAACGAAGCCTATTGCTTAAGTGCAAAGACAAACACCCGTGTTAAGCATGCACCAAATGTATCATTCGTGATACTATGTGTACGTACCACTAAAATGAGGCCCTTTGTGACAAATCTGCTGGAAATAAAGACATTTTATATGCCATAAAATAAGAAATAGTTTTGTTTTCAAGTTCTTTTATTTTCAATTTTTTTCCCAATAATTTTCACTTATATATGACTAATCAAGTGTTTATTATGCCATCAATCTCTGACTTAAGCTGCACAAACAGATCTATAGCTGCAACACATTATAAGGCATTCTCAAGCACAGATGCTGGCGGGTCAGGTCCTGCCCCTAACGTAATACGCGTCTGTAAACACTATATCAAAACTATTTTAATATTTATTTAAATACGAATTGGTCATGTGTTACAACGATAAAACCATTAAATACTTTATTGAAAACCATTAAATACTTTATTGAGACTTGGTACGTGGTTTATGGTATTTTTTCATACCGGTATATGTAAAAATTGCTTGAAAACCAGTTTTAACGATGTCCAATTCGTGTTTAAATATTTTAAATAGAGTGTTTACAGGGGCACGTATCACGTTGGGGTACGGGATCTGACCCCAAGCGTCTGTGTTCTCAATGACATATCATCCATCAGTTGTAGACATATATCTGCGTAGGCATCACTGCAACTAAATTCATTGACCAACAGTATTCTTGGAAAAACACTGAATTTACAAGAATACTGTTGGTAAAAGTTAACAATTGTCTGTAGTCAGATTTTCCATATACTTCCGGCACAGTGTAAACTATTTCTATTGCAAAAAAAGCAAATTAGCAATTGGCAAATAAGCAAATACGTAAACCAGCGGTTAACAAATAAGCAAATTAGCAATTCAGCAATTGGCAAATAATCAAATTTGTCATTAAGCCTACCAACCATTGGCAAATAAGCAAATCGGCAATTAGCAAATAAGCAATTCAGCAATTGGCAAATAAGCAAATTGGCATGTCCCTACCGGCATTCCATAGGCCTTATTATGGTTGGCGTCCGCGCCGAAGCGCAGCGCCCTTATGGAATGAAATCAGATTTTGTGAAAGGGCGACAGCAACTTCTCGAGCCTTTTAGTCGTTCATAATCAAAGCCGATCATTCCGATCGGTATGAGGGTGCTTGATTATTAATTAAGAATGAAATGTCGCGATATGTTACAATGAATAGCGAACTGGAGAATTTCGCAATGCAAACATTTTCAAATCAAATAACCTTTTCCGTCAATAAATCGCGCTCTTCGGGGTTTTTGTTTTTTTTTTCGCTTGCGGAAAAAAAACTTACTCACAATGCGAAAAAACAAAAAACATCGAGCTTGTCCCATTTTCCCCCATTTACATCTGATACACGATACATGTGCGTAGCAAAAAAAATAGTTCTTAAGTATTTCTAACTAAATACAATGTTGTTTTGTCAATGTTTAGCTTTGTATGGATCTGTTTCTCAACACCATTATGTAGGAAACAAGACGATAAACAAATTACTACTATATACACTGTTTGAAATGCTTGAAAACAAAGTGTAGGGATATTTCTCTAAACGTAGCTGTTTATGCAAATGAGGAGTCGTTCGGAAGTTTCCGCCAAACATCGGAAGATTTCCTGCGCTTTACGGGCATGTGACTACCAGATAGCGTGGGTATTCTGACACCAAAAAAATAACTCTGAATTACTTTCAGCGATTTCCATATTACCAATAAGTTAAACTACGATAGAATCATTTTTTCTCTTTTATGACTGATTAATTTGTGTAATTTTATCAATATATTATGCACTTACGCATGAATATATAGTATTTCATCACTGCGTAAGAATCGGAAATAGTTCCAGACCCTGAGAAAGACGCCATTTTATGCAAGACCGGAGC